AAACAGCAGTACAACAAACACAAGAAACAGCAGTACAACAAACACAAGAAACAGCAGTACAACAAACACAAGAAACAGCAGTACAACAAACACAAGAAACAGCAGTACAACAAACACAAGAAACAGCAGTACAACAAACACAAGAAACAGCAGTACAACAAACACAAGAAACAGCAGTACAACAAACACAAGAAACAGCAGTACAACAGACACAAGAACAGCAGTACGACAAACAGCAGTACAACAAACAGCAGTACGACAAACAGCAGTACAACAAACAGCAGTACAACAAACAGGAGTACAACAAACAGCAGTACAACAAACAGCAGTACAACAAACAGCAGTACAACAAACAGCAGTACAAAAAACAGCAGTACAACAAACAGCAGTACAACAAACAGCAGTACAACAAACAGCAGTACAACAAACAGCAGTACGACACACACAGGAGAACAATGAATAAAAACCAACTTGGACCCCACTTTTAATGTGAAGAGTTTCATCTCAGAATGAACAGCAATTAAGCTGGTAAAACTTGTTTTAGAAATTTCAGAAATACAATACAGTGCAGCTGTTGTGATAAAAAAAGACACAGTCGATAGGCAAAGATCAAGAAGGTTATCAGGTAGTAATCAAGTAATCTGCCGTAGACAACAGTGAACTAAAATTATAAGGAAGTCAATTTATAACATGATAGATACCGGTACAAGATATGGTTCAACACTGATGACTAATTGAAAAGCTATGATCACAACTTACTTTGGGGCAGATCAAATCAAAATGGAATAGCATCACACTGTGAACAGATGTCTTTCAAAAAACTTTTAAGTACATGATGTTATGAACAACAATGCTGCTACAACAGCCATGGCATACCACTGGGGTGTTGCCAAGCAGATGAACAGTTATGTTGCAAAATCAATAACGTGACCAAAAAAAAAAATATAAAGAAACTTGAATCAGCCATGATGGTGGGAGCAAGAGAGACCCATGGCAGGCTGGGGGAGTGAGACAAAGGGCAACCATTCTTGGGTTCAATAAAGCTGGACAAAAACTGTGGGGAGGGAGTGGAGGGGGAGGGAGGGGAGGGTGAGCGTGGTTTGATGCGGGGGGGGGGGCGGGGGGGGAGCGGGGTTGGGGTGGGTCCCATGATTGAATTGGACAGAGGGGGGTATGGCGGATGTTTTTATTTTATTGGGGAGGGGGGGGGGGGGGGGGGGGGGGGGGGGGGGGGGGGGGGGGGGGGGGGGGGGGGGGGGGGGGGGGGGGGGGGGGGGGGTGAGCGTGGTTGGGGTGGGTCCCATGATTGAATTGGACAGAGTGGGGTATGGCTGATGTTTTTATTTTATAAATTGGAATTAACATACGGGCTGCATGAGGGAGTGTTTTAAATCAAAATTTCAAGTGAGCAATAGAAGGGGGGATTTAAATTATCATTTTTTATGTGATTGCAATTTTTAAAGAGGAAATTATTGGTAGGGAATGGATATAATATGCCTGGACTTGATAAATCGAATTTTCCAAAAACAAATGGTGGTCAAAATAAATTATTACAGGAGTTTAAATTGAATCATTAGTAAAATATCAAAATCATTGTACCTAAGGGACAGCTGAAAGAAGTCGCTACAACTATGAAGTCTGAGAGACTCTCTGTTGAACTGAGTATGTTGATGGGTTTATAATCTGTATGGATTGGAAGGTTATTTGGTGTGTTGAAATTGGTAAGATATAATGACTATATATTGATTGAGATAGTGATTAACTGTGAGCAAATTCAATTTCTAATACATGCACCAACAAAAAGCACAAGCTGTTACCGTAACACATGTCAAGGGTGTTAATTTAAATTCGTATGCATAAAGGGCCATCCTAATTTTAAGAACCTGGCAAAGCCTATGAACCTTTGAGAATAAAATTTTATTTAGTAAATAATGAAAACATTATATTTATTTTATTTATGTACTACTTTCAATCAAAGGTTCGTTGAAAAACTAAGACCAAGCCTTTCTTGAAATTTTCAACATCAAACATTTAAAACCTTCAACATAAGGAGGTAAATTTGTTCCACATTATGGTAACATGGAAATGTGTATAATTTCAATTTTAAATCTCTTCTGAGTCTCATCATCATAAAACTACATCAGATGTTTGAAATTACAGTTGTATATTAGTGGGAAATCAATAACTTTTAGCTTTATTATTTTTTTAATACTCAAACAAAACATTTTTTTTATACAGAAAATAAATTATTTAGGAATCTATAGAGACTGCAGCAAAGTACAAAACTCCTAAATATATCTTTAAAAGCTAATAATGAGCAGGATATAGTATTCATATGTGACATATTCATTCATTGTAATCTTAATTTTTGTAAATGAGAGATTTTGACATTGCTGAGGGAAGCTTGCATAATTAACATTTTGATTGTTGTCTGGAACAACAGCACTGGTCTTTGTCATAGCCAGGAGACCAGTGGTTTAAATCAAACCTGGGGCCGCCCCTAAGCTGTGGGAAAATAGTGGGTGCAATGAACTGGGGGGGGCTGAGAAAAAAATCTGAGGCATTACTGACAGAAGATAGCAACCAACTTGGCATGGTATAATAAATGTCTTTCTATGTTCTGCAGACAAAATGTATAAAATAGTACTATTTATTTTAAAAAAAAAAATCATTTTCTAAAATAAAAACTTAGATGAAAATCAGACATGTAGGCAAGATTAAATTAATATATTTAATTTCGACATCACTTCAGCGTCTTCGGACTACTCAACTACTGCCTTTTCTTTTAAGTTTAAGTATTCACACTTGAGTTTTTCACCTCACACTCAAATCTAAACTAATTCAGTAATTGTCAGGATGTTTAGAAATTTAAAACATAAGTCGAAATGACTCCTAATTGAACGAAAGTGTGTTGTTTTAAAATGTACAGCTTTCTCATCTATGTTAAAGTAATTATTATTTTTTTTAAATGTTTGGGAATAAAAAAAAAGGAAGATAGGTAGATATTTAATATAAACCCAGCCCCAGCTGGGGGAAACTGGGCTATCTCGGGGCAGCGGGCAGGGCATCATGTTGTTACGCCAGATAAAGCATTATTTGTCAATCAACAACCAAAGGGTGATTAGCGACTAATTTTAATATGTTAAATTAGCTTATAATTTTTAAGTCTTGCATATTGAATGAATAAAATCAAATGTGCAAGAAATGATTTTATTTTTATCTAATTCTAATCTAGGCCTAGTGCCTAGTGCTGCCGCTGGCGCTAGTGAACCGACGCCGGGGGTCGCGGTCCAACAAAATTTAAAAAGAAAAGGAATCAGTGCCAACATATGAGATGCATTGATAAAAATGTATACAAACATTTTCTGGGAGAATGGAGCTTTAGGATACACCTACCAATTTGAATTTTCACATCTACATCAGTTCAGCGTCTTAAGTTTGAGACGATAAATTCATTTGGAAACCGGAAACTTTGAAAGTGAAACCAGATCCTTTAAAAAATGGATTTTCTCCCCTTTGTGTTGTATGGTTTTTATTTTACAAAATAATAACTTCCATAGAATATTACTTTTAAATCACCGTAGTTAAAAAGATAATTAGTACATATTGGGGATATATTTTTTTAACAGATTTACAAAAGTAAATTTAACAAAAAATTGCTTCATTGTGAATTATTCATTTACACTTTAAATATTTAGAATTAATGGGAATGGTTACATTAGTTCATTTCTTGGTTTAACAATTGATATTTAAAATAATCATATTTATGGCTTGATTTTTAAAGTGAAGTCAGAGGCTGGCTTGGGAGGGGGGTGGGGTGAATCAAAATCACATACACGGACCCAAATTATGGAGACCAAAACAAGACGGAAAATGGAGAGAAAGAAAAGGAAAAAGAAGGATAAGTGTGTGGATTCTCTTTATCAATTTTATTGATCAAGTTTGCTCAGTTTGGAGATGTCTTATTCATTCTCAAAATATCCTGGGTAAATGAAAAAACGAAAACAAAAAACATTTATAGTGCAAACAATTTTATTTCTGCTTTAATTTAAAATTTAAAATGTAAGGATGTATTCAAGAGGCCAAAAGAAAATCAAGTAACAAAATTTTAATTTTAAAAAATTAAGGTTTGTTTATATGAAACATGGATATTAAATACATTTTTAAAGTAAGATTAATTTTATAAAATGAATCCACTGGACAGCCAATGGTTTTTCCGAAGTAGATGACATGAGCTAAAAAATCAATTGAATGAGACACAAAGGAGAAAAAAAATTTTAATATGAAATCACAATTAGTAACTACGTTTCAAAGACTATCCTAATAGCTGAAAATAAGAGGTCTGAGGTGCCGTAAACAATTAGCCTGCTTCCTTATATGGGGTTCTATCGGACCTGGTGATAATACAGTGCCACAAGCTCATAAATAATCTAATACAAACAAAAAAATGAAAAAAATTGAGAAAAGAAATCAAGATATATCTGAATGTCTTACCAAAAAAACCACCTTTATTTTAAAAACATCTGCCAAGAGGTCTGTTAACCAAATCTAGCATTTAAAATACATAGTTAAATATTGCCAATACATTAAAAAACTAGCTATTTAATGTTTCAGTACTTAGTTAAGCATGTTTTGTTTTAAAATGTAATTTTACAGCTATCTTAATTACAGTCAATTTTAAATTAATATTCATAATTTAATTTCAAATTCTTGTATCAATATGAAATTGATCATGAAGAATACCAATGTGAATAACTGAGGATTGTGTGACAGAAAGAAATACACAGGCTTAGAAGACACATGCAGTCTGGAATATGTTTAGAGCCATTTCTGTACACATTTAACAAGTATCGAAGAGAAATGTTGGGTTTTATCAGTTACCATCACACACATGTTGTGTCCAGGACACAATTGGAATCACAGACAGTTAAATAACCCTTCCTGCCCTATTACAAGTAGGCAAGTTGACAAAAGCCCCCCCCCCCCCCCCCCAAAAAAAAGTTCCTTATTTGAAAGAAACCATGATGCTGTATATAAATACAGCTACAGATTGCACCTACAACTACAAGCAATATCAAAGGGAGTTATGCAATTTCAAATAAAGCTGTGAAGTAATTAGACTAGAGTTATTATCTGAATTAAAATTCAATCAGCATGTTTGAATAGATTTAGATCCAACAGCTTACATTTTTGAACTGCCAAAAAAAATTCTCAACACTATAGACTGTGTTGATTTTCCAGAATAAAATTAAAATAGAATGCTAGGAAGAAAAAAAATTAAGACTTTCTTAAAACAAACAAAATTTTTTTTTAATGTTTAAAGTTCTAAATTTGCTTGTTGCTTTTCACTGAAAGTTGGTATCCTTTAAAAGAAAGAAATCAATTACACAAAAACTTTACAAAATCATATTTCTTTCATTTTTTCAAAATTTAAATCGGAGTGTATGAAATCTGTGTCAATTCAGAAAGGCCTGAATCCAACCCTGTAGCTATAGTTTAAATCATACTACACATAAAGATATGTACAATTAGACAATACTAGAGTTTCATAAAAATCTTGTTCACATTGAATATTCATAACATCATGATCTGATAGGCCTCCAATAAATTTCACTTTTAGAAAAATGGCACTCATATTTGTCCTCTCTTTGGTTATGTAAAGACCAGTCCTGATTTGTACATAACTTCTTGTTCAAAATTTGACATATATTACAAATTAATGACACATGAAATGTCTCACTTGAAGATTTTTTTCAAAGGATGAGAGCAATACGCACACGTCTCATATATATATAGCCAGCGAAAAAAAATAATTGAAGTGCGCACACAAGATTTTTACATGAAAATAATTGATTTTTTAATTATTTATTATTAACTCAAAATTTCCAAGCAAATCTATCTATTTTAATACCATTAACAAGCCAGTTTCATCTTTAGTCTTTGCTTTATCCCACTGTGCACAAAATGTGCACCATCTCTAAAATATTGCATACACAGAATTTTCTGTGTACATAAGCTCATAAAAAAATAGCGGGAATATTGCCCATAACAGAGGTAATTATTTGGAAATTATAAGAGTCCACATCTGTCAGAGTCCAACATTAAATGTTGAGCACAATGGTGAATGTCTGAAAGTGTGGGCAAGTGAGCATACCATCTGCTTGTTAGATTGGTTTCAGTTCTATGTAACCATTAATGATAACGGAGAGGACCTTCAGCTGGCTTTATTTATTTCAAAATTAAGAATAAACCTTCAACTTTTTAAGGAGCCTAAAATATTAAAACCATCAAATTATTATATAAAAATATCTCTACAAAAATTCTCAACACTGTCACTTGTGTCAGGGGCTTGCTGGAAATTGTAAGAAAATGATAGTTCAATGATATATTTTTGTTAAATTTAAACAAAAAAGTGCAGGTGTAATGAGACTGTGAATGTTTTTATCTTTAGCAGAAAATGTTTTACTTAACAGTTAGTTAAATCACAAGTCATTTTGAGAAAGAAGTTGCAAATGAATATTAACTTAACCCAGGAATCTGCAACATTTTTTTTTAGTAAGGAGCCATTTTTATAAATTATATCTGCTAAGAGAACATTTTGGGAGTCGAATCTGCTGACCCTGACATAACCCAAAAAGAAATCATGCCATTAAAAACATTAAGATATGGTATGATCCAGTGGACTAATTTGATAAGAAGTCATTTCATTTTGGCAAATTTTAGAGCAAATAGAATTTTGTTAGTGAAGTGGTGAACAACATTTTTGTTTCACCTTTTGAAAAAGTTGGGTCAACTTGTGAAAGATGTTCTTCCTGATTCAAAGTGATACAGTCTACATCATTTAAATATTACATTTAAAGCTTTGTTGCCCAGTAAACAACATGGGCAGTGGTTATCTTAAGTTTACTTGCTTGGGAACGAAATTGTTTCATAATTGCATTTTATTATTTTTACATGCTTTAGCTTACAAATGCCTAATACTATAAGTGAAAGGGATAGTCCCATTTAAACTTTTAACAGCAAAAACATGTATATACAATCCCTTCTATGGTGAAATATCCACAAAAAGTATCAATAAGTAATTTTTTTTTAAATAATCAACACATACTAATTCAATGGCGAGAATATCTGTTCTTGCACTGGTATAAACACCGCTTAACCTTGCATCTTAACTTCAAACAAATCTGTGAGCATTTACCTTCAACCCGAATCATTGTTACTGAAACTCTTAGAGAAAGTCGATCGCTTTCAACCTCAGACCCGATCCCTATCTTTTTTTCTTCCTGATTTTTTTCCCATTACCAGCCGGCGTTGCTGCTGCCCCGACAATCACTTGTCCCCCCTGGATCTCTTCTTGCGACACGCCCGGATTCTCTGCCAGTTTCCTTTGTGCATCCAAGTAGAACATGATGTCTCGCAGCTGTTCTTGGAGTTCAGAAATTTCCTGAAATATTGAAAACATTGACATGATATTCAAAATTGGGAAAAATTTAATAAATTAAAGATACACTAATAAAAGCAGGAAAAAGCCATGAGTCGGGTCACGAGGTGGGTTATTACTGTGAAGACTGCATGACATCATAAATTATTACATTTTAAGGGAAAAAAAGTATATGTATGGCCATGTGGTACCTGATCCTTTTTATCTGAGACTTGCTTCAGTCTCTCCTCCAATCCTTTTGTCTTCTCCTGCCACAACTGTTGGTTTTCCCGAAGACTCTTGTTCATCTGCCGCTCATCCTGAAGCTCAGACAGGACTTTGGCAGTGCGTGATGTGAGCTGGAACAGTGAGGGAAACCCCAAGTTTGAATAGCAATTGAATATTTATTGGACCATTATTTGATTGGTGCACATTTTTACAATCTTCACGGTTTCCGTCATCTTATTTGTTCACAAATTTATCATGTTTATGGGAGGGGGGGGGTGGGTGTTGGCTTGTTCATATTTTACAAATATTATGACAATCTGTCTAGCAATATGAGAACTTTTAAATTTGACTTTATCATTTATTCAATTTAGACCAGCAAAGCCAAGAAAAATTAATGAAAAAAGAAAAACTGGAAGAATCTTTGGTTGGTATGCCTCAGCATGATCAATTTTCTTTGGTCTTCATATTATAAACAAAAGAAGTTAAAAATTCTCACCTGTGAACATTTCTTCTCTAGGATGTTTTTCTCCTTGCTGAGCTCAGACAACTTGCACTCTGCCCTCTCTCTCTCACTCCTCTCCTTCTCCCACCTCTCTGAGGACTCTTTCAGCTGTAGATATGCAAAGTGAAACAAATTGTGTTTTTTTTCATTATTATTATTCTTGTAACAGCTCTATATTTAAAGAAATGGACCATTTTGTTATTTTAGACATTACATATCAAGGGGACGATGTCTGGTCATGCGCAGAGGTCAGGAAGGAGAGAGAGAGTAGAAATAAGAACTAAGCATGGATCAGCCACGTTGGTTAGGATTTGAGAATTTGTGGGTTGAGGAGAGCCTACTTGTAATCATTCTTGTATTTCAAAGTAGCTAACATTGAATATTATATTTCTTTATTTACTGAGCTATTACTGTGACAATAAAAAGTAATGTATGGAAACTGGAACTCATATTTTCATTTGAGGAAAGCGAGGAACGTATGGGATCCGTGAGTGATGGATGGAGTCCCCAAAAATTCATATTGACATGAACTCACAGAAGTTACAATTACCATCATAAGTTAATCAGCTGATGGATTTAGCCTAGAGCCCTATCAGTTACAAATATTATTATGTTTTTAACTTTAGACTTCCAACAACAAGCAAGGGTAACCATAAGAGACATACTACTGAAACATAGGCCTACCAACTGAGAATTAATTACTATTAAGAAGAGGGGAAATGTGGATTATGGATTTTAATTTAGATGATTAATCATTATCTTTTGGAGAAAAAAAATAAAATGGAAGGTAAAGCTGGTTTTACAAAACTGTTTTATATTGTGATTCTAGAAGGAGTGGTGACTTTGCGTTCATTGAGGAATGCTTTGAAAGATGCCACTAACTGGCCTTCCTAGATATTATTTAAGTATCAAGTGTCTGGCTGTGTGTAGTTGTTTCATTGGAAAATTAGTACATTTTACAATAAGTTCTGTGTGTAACCAAAATATGCTCCAATTTTGCATGCGAAATGTGTCGAGAAAGAGGCATTTGATGACCTTCATAAGCATATACTAACATTGATTCAATGGTCATGATTGTTTGTTTTTCATGTATGAATAGTTTATCATGCATAAACTAACTTATTTTTATTTAAAAAAAAAAAAAAAAAAAAAAAAAAAAAAAAAAATAAAAAAAAAAAAAAAAAAAAAAATAAAAAAAAAAAAAAAAAAAAAAAAAAAAAAAGACTTTCTAGCAAAGTCGTGTTTAAACTTTTCTTAAAATACAATATCCCGCCAAAAAATGACAATATGACAAACAAGATGGAAATGCCCGTAGAAAGTCTTGAAAAATATAGGCAATCGTAAATGATGATCACCGAAATAAAAAAAAACTTTGAGGATTTATTAGGATTTTTTTAAATACAACAATAGATATGATGAAATGGTTTAAAACTGTTTTAAAATTTTTGAATGGGTAATGGAAATATTAGTATGGATGCCCGAGCTCCAAAATCTGCATGTGCAGAGTCAATCAGCCTACCTTAGACTCTAGATCTTTAACAGCTTCTTGAATTTGTTCCATAAAGTATAGCCTCTGTGATTCCAGCTGAGTGGTCAGTAGGTAAGTGTACTGCAGATTAAGTTATTTAAAAATTTTTAATTTTTACCAAAACATATAATTTTCTGAATTATAATTTCTTTTGTGTGACTTTGAAGTGCCATTTAAACTATTTGTTGAAAAAGGCTTCATTTGTTATAAAATGTGTTCCTCAAAGTTGGGTGAAGGCAACAATTAGGTCTTTATGAAAATTTCTTCTGTGAAAACAACTGTTAGCTTAACCAAACAATTTTTTCAATCATAAACAAAGATAATACTTTTTTTGGGAGGGATACAACCATGAAAAATTGATCCAACATTTGTTTTAGAAGCATTGCTAGATATCACTCATTAAAAAATGCTTCTTGAATTTGAAGCGATTCACTCTCACAGTACCAAAAAAAAAAAAGATTCAATATTAACATCTTTGATGAGAGACCAGGGGCAAACTGAATGTCTACGTTGATAACTTTTTTTCTATTAGGTCACCTCTAGAGTGATGGAGTCAAGCTTCTCTTCTTGCATCTCATTACCACCTTCGTCAACTTCAACCAGTTTCCCATCAGATTTGTTCTGGGCCAACCGGTGCACATAATTATCACCCGCGTAATCCCATACGCGATTGGTGCCCAGCTGCATGGCATACGTGTGGTTGGTGTCTTGGAAATGTCTGCATAGCAAAGATTAAAACATCAATGTAATGTATCCATGTCTGCATAGCAAAGATTAAAACATCAATGTAATGTATCCATGTCTGCATAGCAAAGATTAAAACATCAATGTAATGTATCCATGTCTGCATAGCAAAGATTAAAACATCAATGTATTGTATCCATGTCTGCACAGCAAAGATTAAAACATCAATGCAATGTATCCACACAAAAAATAGATATAAACAAAACTCTTTTGGTAATTTTTTTCTCTCTCCAATTTACAACATAATGTCATGTTTCTTATATAAATATTGTGTCTTGATGAAGAGCAAATCAAGCAAGTTTTCACATTGCTGCCAACAATCCTATAGAATATAAGTCAAAGTCTACCATCAGCAAAGAGCCATCAAGTAAGTTAACCAGTGGGCTGCTCAGTTCGCTTGTGCTGTACGCTTATCTATAATCGATATGATACAAACAACCACTCACTTGTATGCGTGTAATCCTACATAGCGACCACAACCCACTAAGCCACAGATGAGGCAGATCCACAAACTCTGCAATGAGATACAATGAAATGAGTGCGACTCTTGGAAGAGAGTTAAGTCTGGGATAGGACTTGAGTGTAACTGAGTTAGGGCAGGCAAAGGACCAGGGTAGGATGGCGATGTGGCAGAGAAAAAGGACAGGTTGGGACTTGGATAGGGCTGGAGTCACAGTCAGACACAGTGAAGTAAAGCTGGGAGCTGGACTTGATTTTTAACATGCACATTATAACAGTATTTAGACAAATACAATGGAAATTTCCAAAATAAGTACTGTATGTAAACACATTTTACAAAAAGGGAATGGCAATTAATTAGACTATTTCATATATTCTTGGTACGTACCATTGTAAGTGTAGAGAATCTAAACTCTTATTTGACTATAAGCCTCGAGACAAACAGCACATAATAAATGACGATACCATTAATTAAATACAGTAATAAAGAATTGATTCCCAAATTAGGGCTTATTACAAATAATAATTCATTACGTTAACTTCACAATATAAAATCAAATAGAATGAAAGTAAATGCTATTCATTTACAGTACAGTTATGAACTTGTACCGTACAAAGTTGAAAAAGGTGCATACACACACAAAATATTAAAATACAAATCTACGATTAGTACAGTATCATAATCTCAAACTCTGTCTGTCTCGCAGTCTCTATGTAGCTCAATCTCCCTCTCTGTATGTCGACCGTCTTATTTTTATATTTCTTAGAGACTTTCCCAGAAAGGGGGTTACACATTCTGTCCCTATCTCGGTCTGTCTGGTAAGCTCTAAAGAATTCTAATGACAAAGTTTAGACTAAGGGGTTACACATTCTATCCCTATCTGGGTCTGTCTGGTAAGCTCTAAAGAATTCTAATGTCAAAGTTTAGACTCTGTTTGCATGGAGTCAAGGGAGACAATTTATAATTAAGCCACACCCATTGTAGCCAAACTAAGGGTCACCCAGAGTTCATGCACGGGTTTCACAGCGTCAACAAGACGTCTGCGTAACACTCTTAATAATTTAAACAAATATTTATCCATATGTGAGAAGTGATAGCATTTACATAGCGTCAGCCCTTATTCCGAGGGTATTTGACCATTGAAGATTTTATTTCCATCAACTAACCTCATGAGAGCCACACTGCATACACCGCTGGTCGGCAACCTCCTCTGGGGTCTGACAATATCTGCATACCGGACAGCTGTGGTAGGAAAAAAAGGAAATGAATGAAACAAAGTATGGGAAATCTGAAGAAGAAAAAGCACTCTCATTCTCCCCATGTGGTAGAAAAAAAGGAAATGAATGAAACAAAGTATGGGAAATCTGAAGAAGAAAAAGCTCTCTCATTCTCTCCATGTGGTAGGAAAAAAAGGAAATGAATGAAACAAAGTATGGAAATCTGAAGAAGAAAAAGCTCTCTCATTCTCTCCATGTGGTAGGAAAAAAAGGAAATGAATGAAACAAAGTATGGAAATCTGAAGAAGAAAAAGCACTCTCATTCTCTCCATGTGGTAGGAAAAAAAGGAAATGAATGAAACAAAGTATGGGAAATCTGAAGAAGAAAAAGCACTCTCATTCTCCCCATGTGGTAGGAAATGAACACAGATAGCAGAAACAAAATTGTTTTTTAAGGAACTAAAATGCAAACATCAATCTACCTTGTGTCTCCACCCCTGGCCAAACAAACTAACCCCTACCTTGTGTCCCCCCACTGTGCTAGACAGTGAGTGTGAAATGCATGATTACACAGTACTGTGAGGATGCCGTCAACTGACTCCTCCTGGTATCACAGATGGAGAAATAAACAATGAAAATAATTTGAATAATTTGAATAATGAAAATCAAAGAGCACACAACCCTTGACGTCCAGAGTAAGAGTCAATCGGTGCATTTAATTTTTTTTTTTTTTAATTAACCTGCTCAACTCTTAAATTTCGCACAGTTGGTACCTAACTTGACTCTCTTTGCTGAAGGAAGACCAATAATAGTAAATTGGATTTAGCTCCTCTTTTTCTTTAAGATTAGATCATAATTGATATTCATTCAATGATTAACCTTTGAGAAAGATTTTTAAAATGCCATTGGAACCTTACGACCTTCCGGTTACTTTAAATGCCATAGTAAACACTACTGCTGTGAATTTTAATGAAATTAATTTTTTTTTTTTTCTTTTACAGCAGCTCAACATATTTATACAGTTTTAAATTTCCATTTTTAAATTTTAAAAATACATTAATGAGAACATTTAATTTAATATGGCCATTTCAGAAAGAAAGAAACTAACCATCCTCTCCAAGCAAACTGGACAGTTGGGCAGCTCTGTCATGTCCATGATTGGTAGACTTCCTCCCTGCAAGTAAATGTAAGAACAAAAAAGATGTAACTTGCCTATACTACAGCAGTGCACTTTAAAAGCTTTTAAGAAAAACAAAATAAATGCTGAGAGCTTTAAACCTTTCCTTACATAAATTTAGTGCTAAAGCGAAGAAGCTGTAATTACTAACTAATCTATAGCTGTAATTACTAAACTAATCTATAGCTGTAATTGCTAACTAATCTATAGCTGTAATTGCTAACTAATCTATAGCTGTAATTGCTAACTAATCTATAGCTGTAATTACTAACTAATCTATAGCTGTAATTGCTAACTAATCTATAGCTGTAATTACTAACTAATCTATAGCTGTAATTGCTAACTAATCTATAGCTGTAATTGCTAACTAATCTATAGCTGTAATTGCTAACTAATCTATAGCTGTAATTACTAACTAATCTATAGCTGTAATTGCTAACTAATCTATAGCTGTAATTACTAACTAATCTATAGCTGTAATTGCTAACTAATAATAGTAAAAATAATAAGAGGTCTTATATAGCGCGGTACCTCAGCCTAGGGCTGGGCTCAGCGCGCTGTACATAAAAATTTTATCAAAAGAGACATAATCATGACAAAATAAAATACATTTATGAAATAAAGAACAGCAATGTATATTCACCCACCCCCAACACATAACTTTTACAAGGCAAACCATGGACGGCAGTCAGCAAGATCGTTTATCGGTCAGAGGAGGGGAATCAGTCAGAGTAGTATAATTTAAAAAGATATGTTTTGAGTGCAGTTTTGAAGGCCTGGGTGGTTGGTATATTGCGTAAGTGTAGTGGCAAAGAATTCCATTGTTTGGGGGCGCAGAAAGAGAAAGATCGTTCACCATATGTTTTAGTGTGTGTCTTGGGAACGGACAGAATATGCATGTCTGCAGAGGAGCAAAGCTGTCGAAGGGGTGAATAGACAGAAAGAAGTTCTGTTAGATAGGAAGGACAGGAATCCAAGAAAAAGTTGTGACAGAGAACAGACAACTTGTAGTCAATGCGTGCCTATATAGGTAGCCAATGAAGGGAATGGAGTAGTGGAGTGATGTGATCACGTTTTTTTTGCCTTTAAAACTAGCCTAGCAGCTGAGTTTTGAACTTTCTGCAGTTTTTCTAAGCAGTGTTTTGGTGAACCTGACAGCAGAGAGTTGCAATAGTCAAGACGAGAGAGAACAAGAGCACAAACTAGAGTTTTTGTAGCGCTAACTGTGAGGCAGTGGCGTATGGAGCTGATCTGATGGATAGTGGTGTATGCTGAACGACAAATGTGAGATATGTGTTTATCGAGAGACATGTTGTTAGAAAGAATATAACCAAGATTCCCAAACTAGGGCTTATTACAAATAATAATTTATTACCAATTAATCTAAAGCTGTAATTGCTAACAAATTTAAAGCTGTAACTGCTAACTAACAAATAAAACATGATAATAAAAAAAACTGACCTCTGCTTCATTGATGAGTTCTATTTTGGCCACATAGACAAGATGACAAATGTCTGGCTCAATGGAGTTGAATCTCCGGTTGTTGAAGTAGGAGTAGAAATCATCGGCTGATGTCTTCATTAGGTCATATCAAGGTTAAAAGTGAATTTTATAGAGAGTTAAACTTATAGAAACTATCAAATAACATTTAAAGGAACCTAAGTCTTTTTTTTTTTAAATCATAAAAAAAAATTAAAAATTAAAAAATGTATTATAATATGTTATTAAAAAATATAAATAATAATTCTCTAGGTATGTGTGTATGGCTGTAACACTGTGTTCCATATAATGTTATAGCTGTAAGCCTGTGTTCAATAGGCGTGCAAAATAAAATTCCCAAAAGTTATCACTAATTTGGATTCTAATAAAGTGTGTTACTTGAATGTACGTTTTATCATGTAACCTTAGTGTATGGGAAGTTCATGCACTTCTTTCGCCATTGCTAGGTGGATTATTTCTAGTATACTTATAGATTTAAAAAATTTACATAAGAATGATTATCACTGCACAGAAAAAAAAATTTACCAGTTTATTCATAATCATTTGCTGACAACTTCACTTCTCCAGCATATTTTGTAAAAGATATAGCATATTTAGCTTGGTTTTATTGATTTACTTTAGAAACATGTTGCTGCTTATTTCAAACCATATGCTTTGGAGGGGGGGGGGGGTGATCAAAAATATATTCTTCATATGCTTTGGAGGGGGGGGGGGGGATCAAAAATATATTCTTATATTACATGTAACATCTACAAGATATCAAATTACCTGATCCCTAAACTTGATCAGCAACATATACTGGTTTGGGAATGCATCTCTCAACACTTGCATGTAGCTCACACAATCCCTGAAAAGAGAAGGAAGAAGATGTCAAGATGGTTTCAGTTACATGTGTGTTGCTGATAACTTAGATCCATTGCTTCTCTAAGAAGACCTGAAGACTTTACCAGACCATTGTGAGCTCATTATATTTTTTACCACAAAAAAATATTTTAAAAATAAATAAAATTGCCCTCTATCTGACATGATAAACATTTAGATAATATAAGGTTAGCCAAAAAAATACATTTCACATCCTGATTATAATGAGCGGCACACATGTCATTGGGGCGGCACTAAGCCATCAGTAAAACCACACACACAGTCAACAACCTACCCCATGGGAGCAATAAATTTGATGAGATCATGAATGGTGTAGGAGGCTGGCACTCCCATCATGCAGAGCATTTCACTGCGAGTCACATCCTTGTCCAGTGTGGTCATTTGGCTAAGGATTAGTTTTAAAAGCATTCAAATTTTTTAAAAAGCCACCCACATGTTTTTAAACTGGTTTCAGTCACAGTAAACACAATCAAACTATGCCTTAGGCCAGTGGTCGGCAAACTCATTAGTCAAAAGAGCCAAAAATGAGCAGGAGGACGATTACAAATTTTTTGAGAGCCAAATTTCTTTTCAAGAACCTGACAAGCACCTTGTTGTTCGTAGTCAAAACTGGTTTGTGGCCGACCGGCCGAGCCGCTCAGGTTGTGAGCCGCGATTTGCCAACCACTACCTTAGGCCCACAAGCTACAGTGCTTGAAATAAAATTTTATACTTTCAATGCTTAAGTTTTGGAAATTCTTTTTTTCCTGTCCCATTATAAAACATATAATGTGTACATTCAAGATATAATATAAATATTACCATAACTGGTTTCATTTATGGCTATATGAAACCAGGAGCATCTTGGTCTTAAACTAGGCTCAAATCACACCAAGAGGGTATACCGTTTATAAAATATTACACTACTTTCTTTATCCTCAACAGATAGGATTAATTGATGTTTTGAGGTTCCTAGGTAGCACAGTTCAACATTACAGGCTGCAATGGTGCTAAACAAAAATAAGAACTCCAGTTCTAGTAATTGTCTAATGCACCTAGAGCTAGAATATACATTCTATTCCAGAACTTTCTTGGGAAGCCAGATTATAAATCAACTGTACTCTCACTAAGAACTCTCTTTGCAATAAGCCTTATATAAAATAACTCAGTCTTAAACAATTATTTTTTTTAACAAGCCTTACTGAACAATGAACTCACCTGTCTTTATATATATGCATGATGCCTTTCGTCAGCTCCACAGAAGGGTTACCGCTGTAGAAACTGACAGTGGATGGCATTTTGTTGGTTGGACTGTGGCTTTTGGGTCTGTTGGCCCCACTGGGCATGGCCGATGTGGCCTGTGTACGCTCATCTGACTCTGATTTAGATATTCTTTGCCGACCCACGACCTGATACTTATGATCCTCAGCATCCTGCAAAAAATATAAATAATTGTAAATTTGAACAGAATCTTCAAATATTAAGTAGAACATGAAAGCACTGAGAGCTGAATTATTTCCTTAATTTTTAAATGATGTGACATTTGATGTAGATATTTTACACATAAAGCAAAAAGCAATGTGACCAACGGGTTAGGGCTCATGTTCAAGTAGCAGTACTGTGAATAAATCTATTAAAACATTACATATAAATGAATAGATATTTATTTTAAGTAAATATTTGAAGACAACATTTGGCTAGCTGTTGTTATTTGTTTATTAGTGGTTGTTGTTTTTTTTTGAGGTTTCAGAAAAAATTTACATAGAGAAACAGATGTGAGCATTTCAATTACATTTTAATTAATTTTTTTTCCCCAATGAATATCCTACCTCAGTAAGTTCTTTTCCCCTTGGACCTGGTCCATCCTCTGAGGCACCTCTGCTTGTTGATGGCTCTTGTTCATCCATGCTTATTGGACCTAAATCTGGCTCTGTAGTTGCCAGCAATAACTTGATAACTTGTAAAAAAAAAAAATGTGGAAAATTTTACAAGATTTTAAAAACAAATATATAAGTAGTAATAAATTTTTTTATCTAAGTTTGATTGGATAAATAGTGAGGACATGCTTGGTGTGTGAAAGCCTGAATAATGTCATATGGAATAAAAAAAAATATGTTCACCGTTATTCAGGCTTTCACATAACATGCCCAACTATGTAATTCACACTGTTGGAATGAAGTCTACATGATATTGATTTCACAAGCAGTTCAAAAGTACATTGTACATGCCAGCATTAAATTAGTTTTTAAGACTGGTACTGGAGGGGAAAGCTGAGGGATGGGGCACAGAAATATTATTAAAATGAAAGTTTTTTGCACTATTTAAGTGAGTTTTGATGTAATTCAATAATACTGTGATAAACAAACCATCATTCCTATCTCCACCATTAAATTAAAAAAAAAAAAGAAAATCTGGTTAAAACATTTTTCCCAAAGCAATTTTATTACTCAACAATTTTTTACCTGGCTCCTCAATTAGCTCAATGTGTATGTCTTTAAAGACTCGTCTTCCCCTACAAACAATATTCTCAGTTTGGGGGTCTCTATGTCTAACGTCTCCTGACAAAATCTGACTAGACTGTTCACCCAATCTCTCTGATGGTGGTGGTTCTTGATCTAAAGGAATCTCACTGGAGCTTGGGGTTCTCTCCCTGCGCTCAGGCTTTATTTGGTTGAAATGATGCTTCTCCCCCTTCGTCAGTTCAAATTGGGATGGGGTATTGGAAGGCTGTAAATCTCTAGGGGAAGATGAACCCCGTGCAACGGACGCATACGATTTGGAACCCGCTTTGGAATAATGTTGACCACCTGAAGCCTTGGCTGAAGTTTTTTTAAAAATTATAAATTATATCAACATCATGAATGTTTTTATTAATGTTAAATATTGTAAATAAAACTCTAGTGCTACACACAACATATATTCATTCATAAGCTGTTTACTTTATAACCAGGGGAATAAGTGGGGGGGGGGGGGGTTAAGTTAATGAGTGGATCTTTTATTTTCAGTCCATGCCATGTATCCTCCCATTCATTGTCATATTTCAATCCTATTGTATCACACATTTCATCTTCTCTAGTGCTACACACAACATATATTCATTCATAAGCTGTTTACTTTATAACCAGGGGAATAAGTGGGGGGGGGGTGTTAAGTTAATGAGTGGATCTTTTATTTTCAGTCCATGCCATGTATCCTCCCATTCATTGTCATATTTCAATCCTATTGTATCACACATTTCATCTGTGCATGCTAACGCTGTAATGTCCCTCTATTCAAATACTGTCACTATTTTATTACCAAAAACTTTGTTGGGAAAAGATATAATTCATTTCCTTTTCTGATGATAAAAAAAAGTAAATAAAACAAAGGCCTTCCATAAAAATGTAACTATATTAAATGCCACATCCAAACAAAAGAACAACAGGAGTCAATGAAAGGTTTTTGAGGTTTCAGCCACCTCACCCTTAACAAAAAATTATGAGTGAATCATAGGAATAGGAAATTTTTTAGAATTTTCTCCAAGTACATTAATTTTTATTATAGATAACAATGAAGAATGAAGTAATAAACGGAAGCCTCATAAAGCCAAGTGCAAAATTGGGTCAAACATAATATCCTAATTTTGTGACTGCCATGCTTAGAGAGTATAAATTATCTACTCTGAATAATAAAATTGCTATTTAGATCACCAAGGTAATGTTTTTGGAAATTTATAGTTGTTGTTTAGGCCTATGCCAACCGACACATGAAGGGAGTGCCAACATTGGTGAATATTATTTGTAACTTTCAATAGCTTAGTTGGTTCAGTATGATAAAATTTTATCTTAGGTGAGGAGGTTGATATGTCAGATGTAATAATCTTGAGCACCAGTTTGCAGGTACTTTACCTGTATAAGACCTGAAGTATTTCAAGTCTGAGGACTCAGAAGAGAGTTCTAGCCTCAGGGTCAACAGTGAAATCAACATTTGGCCTGAAAATAGTATTATTTTTTTTTAATGAGGGCAAAATCAAAGGTCACATCTATAATAAAGAATTTATTATCTAATACTATTATTCAAACATTGATACTAATAATATGGTTACTAAGAGTTTACTCATTAATTTGTAGTTGTCGCCAAGTAGTGTAGAAATTTCTGCTTAGTTTTTTAAGATTATTTTATTTTAAATTTTCTTTATTATATCAATTGTTAAATATGCCATGAGTCCTATGATATTATGGGCATATTTTGGCTACTATCAGACTATCATCAAGTTCACTAACTAAATCTTACCTCTAAAATAATATTAATTGGTAAATGGTTTACAAACTTTGAGCCACAAAAAAAGGGATTCCACTTCCAGAGATAGTATGAAGATGAATGAGCTAATGGATTGCTCACATTCACTTACCCAAAAATTACAGCAGATGCTGGGACCACAGATGCTGGGACCACACTCAGTTGTTACTTTTTTTGTGACCCACCATGTACTATAGTAAATATTATTATAAATAAACCTCTATTGTTATAAGGCTTAACTCTTAATAAATTCCAAAAGCATTTACAGAATGTAAACACCAGAAGAAAATGTTGAAATGTTTGTTCTGACAAAATTCTGAAATATTTTGATAAACTCACAAAATTCAAGAGCTTCAAAATATGACCAGCATAAAGCCAGTAAGACTGCAGCAGCAGACTTTATTTAGTAGTCTTAATAAAACATAATGTAACCTTTCATTTTTTTCTGCTGAAGAAGGGGTTTGCACATGCCCAGTGAAGACATGTGTTTGTTTACCTGCGTTTGTGATGAGGAATATTTCTTCACTTATGACATTAATAGTCCATCAAATTGTAAATGAGGTTTATAGACTAAAATGCTATTATTACTGGTCAAGGGCTTGGCCCAAAGTGACTGGTCAAGGGCTTGGCCCAAAGTAATCAAGTGATTTTGGAGCTTGTGTGCATCATGTTGAGATTCGGCACCATCTTTATTTTACCGCCCTGCATTACTTCAAGCTTAAGATAACTCTATACCTGCATGTGTGCTCTCAGACTGCTATACACCAGAGTGACTGGAGGTATGTTCACATACAATATTACGTTGTATACCATTGGGGTAGTGACTCTGGCAAACAAACTTTTTATCTGTGATACCAAGAGACCAGAAGTTGACGTGTCATCTGTAAATTTAGACCTAAGTAAGAAAACAGTTTTCCGCACAGCTGGGGCTGGTTACTGCATGTTTGTTGACATTTTGCATAGTTCATCTCGAACATGCTCTGCTGTTTCCCAAAGGACGCCAAAGACTTGTGCTATTATATCTGGCCTGCATCCTCCTAGCCAACTCCTACTCTCCTGAACCCAACCCTGGACGTCACTACGAGTGGTGGCTATCCTCCATCGCATACCCGCTCATGTTCCTAATCATTATGGACCTGCGGTACTTATGACCTTGCAGTGCAGTGGGAAGACAGAGGCGTTGCATGTGAAAAATCTGGGCAATGGTTCCATGGTCGATGCCAAAGTCACAGACTATGACAAACAGCATGGTGAACATTCTTGCATGCCATGGTACTGCGGATGCCCGACTTGCAAGACCGTGTTTGACCTCCACAGTTCAAGGACAGAATCTACCCTCCCAGATTTCTTCCTAAATCCCTCATGCTCCACACCAACGGACCTTCAGAGTTTTCAGCCACCACACTGCTGTACTCCTATGCGCTGCAGTCAGCAAGACAAATGGAAACACAGACCATTGCGCATATTGAATGTGAACTTTCAGTCTGCAAGCGGGAAGAGAGTCGAGATAGCCAATTTGATCAACAGCCTAAAACCTGACATCATACTGGGCACAGAAACATGGCTGAACCCCTCCATAGTCAATGTAGAGGTTGTACCGGATAATTACAAACTATTCCGGCGAGACAGAAAAGACAGAGGAGGAGGAGTACTTGTTGCTGTCCATGACAGCCTGGACTGTCATTCTGTTCCAGACCTAGATGCTGATGACTGCGAACTCCTGTGGGTGAAGGTGAAGCTTAAGGGTAGACACACACTTTACGTTTGTGCCTATTACAGACCCGACACAGCAGATGAACCAAGCTTGAGGAGGCTTGATGTGTCACTTCAGAGAGCAATTCAGTCGAAGAACGCTTCTTTCCTTATAGGGGGAGATTTATACTTTCCTGGTTGGAACTGGCAGATTCCTGCCTTGAAGCCCAAGTCCCCATACCCCGTCCTACACTCTGAATTCATGGAGATAATTAACAACCATGGTCTGGAACAGATGGTTAAAGAACCCATGTGAGGGGAAAACACTCTCGACTTACTTCTCACTAACAGTCCCCATCTCATCCTAAGAGTTGAGGTCATCCCCGGGATATCAGACCACTGCATACCGTATTGCAAATTTCAAGTCAGCGCACTAAAAAAGAAGCAGGCTGTGTGAGAAATAGCCTGAGAAGTGCAATGACAGAGCTGAGCTCAAACAAGCATGAGATCCAGGGTAATGTGACAACAGAAGAGCTGTGGATGAAATTCAAGACAACAATCACGATGCAGTGAAGAAATTCATACCACACAAGACCTCCAAACCTAAGACAAATCAGCCATGAGTTAAGGCTGAAATCCAAAGGCTCATACACAAGAGAGACCGCAAGTACAAACGAATGAAGAAGAATGGCTCGGTCGAACTAAAAGCCAAAAAGTACTGAGGCTCCGAAGAACCATCCAATGCTTACTGTGCAGATCTTACTGGAACTAGCTGAACGGCATCTTCTCAGAGGAAGATACTCCAGGCAAGAGTGTCAAGAGCACATAATCGTAAGCGCGGTCATGAATCATCTTGAAAGACACAATATACTCAATGACTGTCAGCTTGGCTTTCGAGTCAACAGATATTGTGAGACCCAACTCCTTGAATTTGCTGAAGAATTGACGACCAATACAGAGAGCAGCAAGCAAACTGATGTGCTTGAGCTGGAGTTCTCATAGGCATTTGACTGTGTCAATCATAGCTTGCTAGTACACAATTTGCAGAGATATGGGATCCAAGGCACTACCAAATCATGGATCTCTAGCTTTCTCAGTGACCAATGCCAGGCAGTACTGGTAGATGGCACAACCTCCTCCTTTGTTGGTGTTAAGTCAGGGGTCCCCCAAAGCTCGGTGCTAGGCCCCTGTTTGTTCCTAGCATATATCAATGATCTGCCAGAGAAGCTGACCTCTCAAGCAAGACTGTTCGCAGATGACACGGCAGTGTATAAGACGATGGCCAACAGTTCTGACCAGGACCAGCTGCAACAGGACCTAAATGGGTTAGCAGAGTGGGAGATGAGCTGGGACATGGAAATTGTCCCGTTAAGTGCCAGACCCTGTCAGTCTCCAGAAGCAGATCCCCTCTACATCACTCTTACGAATTGAATGGCCATATTCTTGAGCCAGTTTCCTCAGTTAGGTACCTAGGTGTTATCATTCCAAGAGAGGTCCGCTGGGACAAGCACATTGACGGGTGTGCAACTGGGCAAACAAGACCCTGGGGTTCCTAAGGCGCAATCTGAAGATTGGAAACTCAAGTGTGAAAAAAAAAGCCTATAATGCCTTTGTCCGGCCGCTTTTAGAGTATGCATCTATAGTCTCGGACACATTTACTTTCCTGATCTTTTAACTTCAATACTTTAAGGTAAAAAATAAAGCTTCAGACTTCATCATACTTTTTAAATAAAATAATTATAAATGTATGGGTTGTGGCTACAGACACCCAGGATTTGTTACTTTTTTCTTTTAATATAACATTAAGTACTAACTTGATTAATAATGCTGAATAAAACTAGAAATAGAGACAAGTCATCACAGTTAAATGATGAAATGTTAATAAAGTTAAAGCACAACTAACAATGTCATGACTTACTCTTTAGTTTTAGTGACATTCGACCTCTACTAACCGAATTCATAAGGGCCATCCATAATTAATGATGTTTCACTATTTTAGGTCCTTTTTTTTATGAAGTGTCTACACGTCCAGCGCGCCGGACAAATAGTGCGAGATATATGATATATGTCCGGCGGGCATGTTACGTGACTGCCGGACAACTAGTAGGCGTTATTATTCCGGCAGGTCATGTGACAAGTGACAAGTGGTCGCTGGCAAAATAGTTGCATTGCATTAGATATTCCAAATATTGTGCACATATTATTATATTTATATTAGTCAGTCGATCCCTAGATAATAAATATATGACATGTGACACATCATCAAAGTCACATTTGTGGATCCCCCCCCCGTTTTTGATGTGAAATGTCATTTATGGAAGGACCCTAAGCCTAAACCTAATAATTTAATAAATGCATTTTCCTCCCACCAGTCATTTTTATATTATAATTACTAGCCTCTAGAATTAAATTACTAATAATAAATTAGTTAGGCCATCTAAATCTTTGGGTACACTATATATAAATGTATAAAGACCTTTGCTACTTTATTTATGTAATTTTATTCGTGATATTGGATAATTATTATTATTATCATTAAAGCTTTTAAAATTGCCAAGACTAAGACGCCTGCCTGCCGAAGCCTAATTTTTAATAAGGCCTTTTCAGCCTCTACAACTAAAACCATTTTAGTCTTATCATGATCCATTATAATTTTATTACCTCATAAGAGCTTCTCTATCACACATTGAAAATCTCCTTTCACTGACTATAAAATCGATATGTATGTTTCACTACTGTGTTAAATAAAATAAACATTTCAAAGACATGTTATGAAAACAAAATTTGCGGATTCAATGTAATTTTTTTTTTACCCGTCTATTTCATTTATTTATGACAAAATATTATAGTAATGTCCCTTTGGCTTTACTATAAGTAAGGTATTAGTCATAAGATATGATATTGCGTTTTTGAAAATACAACAAATCTTTAGAAATTAAAGTATATCACTAGGCACGCCTCCTCTAAATCCATAAGACAATGCTAACATTGTGTTTAGTTGTTTTTATTATATAATTGAAAACATCACATTGTTTTTAATAACTTGCCTTAAAAAATTATATGTACGTCCTATCTAGCATCTTATTCTAGCTTCCCTTTCCCCCGAATCTCTCCTACTTAAAAAATAAAAGCAACTTCCCAAACATTTTAACTTTTCAAAAGAACGTTAACTATTTTTCTTGACAATTCTTCATTTATTAGTTGGACTTGTGCCTGTTGAAAAAAAAAAATTGAATTCCAGTCAATCAATTACAATATATTAAAAATAATTATTTTACAAAACAAAAATGTACATGCCTTTTTTCTATTTTTTTTTTTAAAACTTTTTTTGGAACTATTAGAAATTTTTAGCATAAATATATTTACCTGACAAAACTAGATAAAAAAGTGCAAAAGCTGTCTATCAAACCTGAGCCATATACCATATTATGAGCAATAATCTGACTTCTACTATAAGAATTACCCTTACTTATGAAATAGAGATGACTTCCTTACAGATGAATTAGGCTACAATTAGTTATTGTTCCATTTTGTTTTCACAATTTATTTTACCCTTGGTGCCCTTAGTTACTCTCACTATTCTTTTACCATCATTTTGTTCTCCCAATTTTAGTCCCACATTTTATTTGGGTCCCCATTTACTTATTTCTTTTTTTACATTCCAGCTTGCATTTCTTAATTAATTCATACCTTGCAATGTTACTTCATATTTTTTTAACAGAAAGGGATGGGAGACCTCTTTTGGATTATACCAGAAGTAGACCAAAACTAACTGACATGCCATCTGTATACTTACCTGTGCTACATATTCCTGGTGAGTAATAAGATGCCAAAAGCACTCCCCTTCCAGCCAAAACTCCACATATCCTCATAATAAATTAATAACCAATTTAATATTTTAATAAGAAGTTAAAGCGCATAAATAAATTCAGATCAGCTTCTGCATTTACATAGAAAATGTTTGCTACAGAAGCAACTGAAAACTTATCGTCCATGCCTCCCATCTTTATCAAATGCATACTGTAACCAACTTCTTGCAACAACAACAAAAAATTAATAAAGCCATTTATTTGTATAGTGAATGTGAGATGATTTATTAAAATATATTAAATAATGTACAAAAAATAATTACAAAATCCAGGTTAATACATGTGTATAAATAAAATATTCCAAAACATCATTTAACAAAATTGAACATAGTTATAAAATGAAGCTGGCACCAGCAAATGTCTCTACTACTGACAAACCTTACTGAAAATTTTACATTGGATTAATTGGCTCCCATCAATAAATAATATTTTTAAGACAAGTCTGTGAGCTAAAATGATGACTTTTATATTTAAAAATTAGTCATTAAGAGAGAGATCTATCTCAAACTATTTAACTTCTTCAATTTGTATAGTTCAGCAACCAAAAGAATAGTTGGAGAGTGAATCATAAGGAATCCATTAAATAAAAAATATTTTTTAATGTTCAACCAATATCAGTAATGATTAATTTCATACATTGAATAACTTTATCTTGTCAATGTTATTTTAAACCAGGTCTCATCTGTTAATAGATTTATTCAAAATTATAATGGTTCTTATTGCATTTAATTCATGACAAAACCCACATTATTGATTTAAAAGTAGTTAAAAAGATTGATATAAGACCATTTTGATGTAGCCCTTATCATAAAAATGTCTAAGTCATGAGCAACTTTTAAAGAAACATCTGAGTCAATAATACTTATTGGGTTAGTTTGGTGACTTATCAAAATTATTTGCATGGATAGAAAAGCCTAGCCTTGAGTCACTTGTCCATTTCAAATCTGTTTTGGTCTGTAAACCTTGTGTGAAATGATGCTCACTCTCTGGGCATGCTCAGTGGTATTGAAATATTACCAAACTTTCTTTAAATATTTCAGCAGGAAGGTTTTTCTTATCATTATGACAATGGCCCCTCTACTGACCTGAAAAAGACATCAATATTTTTTTTACAAATGACAGCTTTTCAACAATGAGGGGAATGCAATAAGATAATGAGAATAGACCTTTGATAATTCACAGAAATAGTTGAATTCCTAATTTGATAGATTCTTTAATATATGTTATATATATAATATATTATATATATATTATATGTATATATATATATATATATATATATATATATATATATCTTTGGGATACTTAAAATAATGATGAAAAGAGGGTACAAGCTGTTAAAGATTTACGAGACAAGTGCTGTCAGTTAAACTTACAATAGCCCATTTTTCTTGTACTGGATCAAAAGGTCTGTCATTATAGTCTAGCCATTCTGGGCCCTGTGTAGAAAATGAATAACAAAATAATAAGAAAACCTTTTCAAGTTAATTACATGAACTGAATCTACTCATTGTGAGTTATATACCCATCATAGCCCACACATGGTAGCTATAACACAGACTATAGAATGTAATGAGGTGGTCGTAAATTTTAAGATAAAAATGACATTATTTAAAAAGCAATAGACAAAGAAAACCAAGTTTCACTGTTAAATTATATCTATTTTCTTAGTGTAGCCGAGTAGTGACGTAGCTTACAGTTTAAATAAAATCACAATAAAACAATCAGGTCTGAGAACTATAGCTTTTTAATGTAAGGTACAATCCGTTGACAGAGCCGACAGGAAAATTTCTCACACCTGCCGCCGACCCGACGCATCCGTTCCACACCACAATCTAAAAAATGTACACACCCCAAGCCCCAGTTCGCCCCCCCCCCCCACACAGTCACAGGGAACCCGCGTCCCGAGCTGACCATGGGTCAACCCCGGGGCAGGGATGGTTATTCCCGCGTGTAAATCGACGCATCCGTTCCACACCACAATCTAAAAAATGTACACACCCCAAGTCCCAGTTCGCCCCCCCCCCCCACACAGTCACAGGGAACCCGCGTCCCGAGCTGACCATGGGTCAACCCCGGGGCAGGGATGGTTATTCCCGCGTGTAAATAACCAACATAAAATTTAAGGCCAGTACACAGCTGTGTGTTACTTTAAATTACCATGGATGTGTCCGTGCTTGGGGTTACCCATAGCAGTCACACTATGACTATGAGAGTGGATTCTCTTATTCCTATCCGTTCCAAACTGCCGCATATAAAATGTTACCTAAAAGCAGTTGCAAATAGTGGCACATTGCCACATTAGTAATAATTTTAAAAAGGAAATAAATTAAAGATTTGAAAAATTTAATTTTTATAAAAAGTAAAAGACCCGGACATCTAAAAAAAAAATAAAAAAATTGAAACTTTCTATTATTGATACAGTTAACTTATAAGTCAACATTAAAAAGACCTACCACAACATCTCCTCTACTCAGTACTTTCTTTAGTCTCCAGCGGGAGTGCTGGTGTGCTCTGTATATAAATGAATTGTGAAAACATAATTGACTGCTAAACAATTTCAAAATGATGTCAGCAATGGCAATCTTATTTCCTAAGGCTCTTTTACCCTACATAAATCCTAACTAACTTGCAACATGTGGCATTAAATTTTTTAGAAAGAGATGTGTTCATATGGTTATTTTTCATTACTTGGAAGCTCAGATGATAATTTGATATCAGGTTTTTAGACTCAATTTGAAATATTTCATACTATTGCCTAATACAAAAAAACACATTATTTTTTTAATTGTTGAGGGGAGGGGAGGACGACACAGAATTTAAAATAAGACTCTAGGAATACAAGTGAGTTCACCAGGTATAAACAGCTCACTGTCTGTTTCTTTCTTATAGTTTAAATTGTAATTAAGTAAACTTAGAAAAGATAAAAATACTTACGTAGTTTGAAAAGTAAAATATGATCTTTTTGGTGTAAGTAATGGGTTTCCCCTGTAAAAAAAGAAAGACAGTTGTACATGCCAAGTGATTTAGGGATTCAATTTACCCAAAGGCAAACTGGTTAGTACCTTGATTTAGGTTTTTAATAAATGATATCCTAACATATCTAAAGTAATATATATTTACTATATGTTTCTGACATCTCACAGTCGAGGGAGGTAATTTTAAAACCTTTAAAATCGGGTTTCAGAAAGTCCTAGTAAAGATAACATCCCAAGGGGTGGGCAAATAAAAGGTATCTAGTCACAATTATCCCCCAATTGTTTTTAAAAACTGATATTTCATAGTTTTCTTATCTCATATTAGCATTAAATTTTTTTTTTTCAAATGTCTTTCCATATTTACTCCTGATAACATCTATAGAAACATAAAAAAAGACTTCAGATTAAAAAATAAACCTTTATGATGGGTTTTGATATCTAAATAGAGTTTATATGACTCCAGGATGTGTGTCATGTATACTATTTTATTGGCAATGGTATTTAAGTCACATTAGCATCTCAATGCCTTTAATTTGATTGAAAGTGCAGGCAACTTTGGCTCATAGAGGATTCTTCTATCTCTAAAGTAATTTAGGCTTAAAAAAGGGATATCAAACTTACCTGGTCGTTGGCATATATTGTGGAGAATTTTTTCCTTCCCTATGAAAAGAGGATTGTTTCCGACCTGCATATACTGCAATACATTGGAAATGGAATAGATCATAATTCCTCACAATAGAGGATGTAATGGGTGTTAAAATGTAAAGCGTTATATATTTATCAATTAAAATTGGTCCTCCATCGTTGGTATCTAGGTTCGTATTTTAAAGTGAATAAGTTGGGACCCTTCAGCGATACAAGTTTTCTTACACTTTTATCAATTATTTCACTCTTTGTATTTTGATAACATCATAAACACTTACATATACTAGAAGCACTGCTCCCAGGTAAAGGTTCCTTAGACTTGGACCTATAACAAAAAATATTGAAGATTTACAAAATGAAGCAAGTTAAAACAATATATTTAATCTATTTAAGTTGAAAAGGGACAATTAATTTTTTTTTAGAGAAACTCGTGTATAATTTATCTTTGTCATCTTGTTAGGCAATTGACTACAATTTGACTAAAATTAAATCTCATGGCAGTTTTATATAAATCCCCTCTCTTTGAGAAATATATTAATCTATATGTAAATGCTAACACATACATGTGTCTGTGCCGGTGAAAACTTATAAGCAAAACAAAGTGGGTATTACAAGCAATTATTTGAAAGGAAGGATAAGCCTCTATGTTTTAGTTAAAGTTATGTCTCTGAATGTCTAAGTCTTACCTTGCTTTAAGGGTTTCATACCCAGAGCGACTTTGCTCTACAGGTGGCACTGTGAGGAGAGTAACACATATTATTTCAACAAATGCAAGTCTAGAAATGTCATTTTTTAAAAATAAATAAAACATCGAATAGATATCAGTAACTTGTTTAACAGAAATCAGAAAACTCTAATAAATTGATATTATTTGTATTCAATTGAATTGGTAAAAAATATTACTGCACTTCAGTTTTTGAAGAAGTATTAATATTGTGATTTCCACATACAAAGCAAAAATAACCCGAGGCATCACAGCCTGTGTGGATTACTCTTTAAAAAATGAATAGTAAATAATACTTAAAGCTTTAGCATATCAGTATACTTATGTTAGAGTTGTTCCTTGACAATGATGCCTTGGAACTGGGGACAAAATATAAAATATTTAACCTGAATTTGTTGTTTCTTGGTTCTAAATGTGTCAATCAATAATAATTGAAAATAACTTAAAAAGTCATCACTAAAGTAAAGTCAAGTTTTCAGATCTTTATTTTTTAGATTTGTTCCTAGTCAGTGAAGACAGCAGTTGACTTGAATTTTTTTTAGATTAAAAAAAAACATACCCAGGTAAATATCGTCCATTACTCTTCTTAATCTCTGTGATTTCTGGCACTATGGGAAAAAAATGTTGACAAATATTTCACCATATTTTTTAATTCTAGTTAAAAACTTTGAATAATTTTAGCCATTGTTGTTTAAGTCAAGGTATTAGAGCCACTGAGATTAATGGTGTCTCAATGGTACACCCAAAGCACAATTTTAACACAAGACCTACCCAGTGAGCTGAGATACAAGACATGTGGTTGAATGAAAGAAAAAAAGGAGGGGGGTGGGGTGATAAATACAGTGGGAGATACAGCAGGAGTTAGTTGGTGTTTAGATCTCATAGAATCGTTCAGTAGTGTTACACATGTTTTAAAAAATATATACCGTTATACTTATTTCCTGAACTGGCACCAGTTGTAAGTAACATAATTTCCATACATACAGAGAAATAACACTGTATAGTAAAGAAATAATTAATTAGTTGCATCACAAAAACAGAAACCAAGTAGTTGGATTACAAAAGATGATTACTTTTGATTATTACTTTTTCCAATCCTGCATATCAGAAAAAAATGTGGATTTTATCAAATACAATAAAAAAGCAAACTTTCCATTTGGAAGTGATAAACAAACACATGTAAATTTACAAAGAAATTGATGCAAAGGAGATGTGAGCCAGTACATCTTAAAACATCCAGTTGCTCAGTTTTTTAAATAACCCTCTTTTAGGCAGTCACAAAATGCTGTTTTGATTATTTTTTTTTTTATATATTATCTTTGCTTTATCAAGAGATAACACCAAACCACATCAGCAGGCAATGTGGGGCCCTGACAGAAGTTCAATGCATCATAGATTGTACAAAAAAATTGACATTCATCAAATGGACCTTTTTTTTTTTTACATCTACTTCCTGAATGTTATGCACATTTCAATACCTTTAAACTGCCACTTAACTAGATCATAATAGTTGATTCGAGATAATATCTGGATTAGTTAGTGTATTGTTCAGCAATTTCTAAAGTTATGAAGATTCATGGTAATATTTAAACTTCAAAATTAATTAGTAAACATAAAATTAACTTCCAACATAATGTATTTACTTGTGCTTGCACTGCCCTTGGACAAAATAATTTTGGCCACTCGATTCCGGGTGAAACTGAAAGAAGGTAGGCCTACCATATTTTAAAGTGATATCAGTTAAAGGATGCATATTCTATGCAATTAAAAAACACAATTCACTTGGCTAAAAACAGAAATTTACAATGACTTTTTAAAAAAAACATTTGTGTTTCAAACCCTGCAATAAGTTGGTGATTAACCCTTTAATTATGGCCATTTTTTGTTTTTTTTGGCATCAATTTGTGTTGACTCTTTAAATTTTGGCCTTTTACCAACTTTGAAATACCAAGCTCTGGATAGCATTGTTTGTAAATATACAAGAAAACACCCTAATTAATGTTAATGTAAATGCTCGCAATTAAAAACTCAAAGAAGAAACTTCCAGTATTTTTTTCATTCTCTATTATCCCATTCACTTAGTAACTTTTGTATAAATTAAAGAATACAAGAAATATATAGCATTGAAATTGTGATGTCGATGTGACATCCTCAGTTATTCAGAAAAGTGCTTTGCCTCTTTGTTATGACAACAATGTGACGTCCTTTGAAATTAAAAGTGGGTGGTAGTGATGTCGCGTTGACGTCAGCGGTAATGAAAAGGTTAATTACCAAATTGCCTAACCTACATCATAGATTGAAAACTTTCACCTCTTAAAAGTAACATCTCAGCAAACATGGTTGAAGAATTTAACTAAAAATTTTAAGAAAAATCAAGCCCAATTAAATAATAACTCTAAAATACTTGGTCAACTACAAATGGTTTGAAAATAAAGGAGGCACTCTTGCAGTATATGCAGACGAAGAAAGAGTTTGTTCCCTTATCTAGGCACATATGAACATATTGTGTAGGAAACACTATGTAGAGCTTGTTCCTTCTAATACTGCCCATCATAGCATCCAGTTACAAACCTCTTAGCCAATCATTGATCTGTCTTCTTGTGCTGGCTACTCGTTTGCAAAAAAAGTGAAACTTTAACTAACTAAATTTAGCTATAAAACTATTTTTTTTACATAAATATTTCTAAACCAATGTTTACTTCTATTCTTTTGACCAAGAAATTCATTTGACCTGAATATGAAATTAGAGTAAGCTCAGTACCTTCCAGCTTTGCTCTCTGTAATAGCTGGCAGATGTTCTTGAACACTGGAATCCACTGAACTGTTTTCATTATCATCTGAGGACATGGAACTGATCTATAAAAACAAATTTGGAAGCTTGGGGGAGTAGGGAAAAAGGTTTCAACAATCTAATGACAACCAGTTCAAGAGGTGACGTGTTGCCCAGACAAATTTATGAAATTTGGAAATGCATGTCTTTACTAACAATGCAGTCCCCACCCCAACCCAGATAAAATGTTAAATAATAATTAACTGTCACGTCTAAATCTACTGACTTACTTTGATCCCCAGTAGCTGGCCTAACTGATGTGGAGCTGAAGGAAGTGAGTGTGTCAAAGTAATAATTTAATAGAATGTAAAACTGCTAATATCAAAACAAACAACTGATATGAATGAAAACATGTTTTTTATTAAACAAATAATAAGGCTTAAAAAAAGAAAAAAAAAAGTTTCAAGTTTAATAAAATGATAATATGCTCAGTATTTTCCATGAAAGATTTATAAATGCCAAGTAAGAAAATAATTTAGAATTTATCAAATCTTCATTCCCTTTATTTACTGTTTAAAAAATCAACAACACACATCTAATTTTTTTAATAGCTAGGTTTTAAATGTTACTTCTTAAACTTTGAAATGAAAAGCTAATGATGCCTCATCTGTCATTCTGAGTGGGCTTGGTAAGACATGGCACACAGTGTGTAGCTAACTGTATTACCAGTGTTCAAACTAAAGGTAAAGTAATGCAATGAATGTAATAGGGGAAGCTTCCTGAATAATAAAATAATTACATTCAACAGCTGCTTATTTAATTAATTTTACAATCTTTTAAGGGTAGCACAACTTTGGAAAGATGAAGCCTCATGATGTGATTCTGTTCAATAAAATTGAAACCCCACTAGTGGCGGGTTGCAACAAATTTTTTTCTTCTGTTCTGGTTTCTGTGTGTGGTTTAAAAAAATACAAAACATTTCAATGATTGAATGGTGGATCACAAGCTGAGCGGTACTTTCATTTTTTTTTCCTGGCCTAGCATAAGGTTGAACCGCTCAATTGATTTATGTATCTATATGTGGCAATGTGCCACTATATAAGAGAAGCCACTCTCATAGTCATAGTGCACGTACACATCCATTATCCATGGTCATTCAACGTAACACTCAGCCGTGTACTGGCCTTAAATTTTATGTAGGTTATTTAGACGCGGGAATAACCATCCCTGCTACGGGGTTGACCCATGGTCAGCTCGGACGCGGGTTCCCTGTGACTGTGTGTGTGTGTGGGAGGGGGGCGAACTGGGACTTGAGGTGTGTACATTTTTGAGATTGTGGTGTGGAACGGATGCGTCGGGTCGATGGCAGGTGTGAGAGATTTTCCTGTCGGCTCTGTCAACGCATTGTACCTTTTACATTAAAAGCTATAGTTCTCAGACCTGATTGTTTTATTGTGATTTCATTTAAACTGTAAGCTACGTCATCCACTCGGCTACATATATTCAAAAATTAATAATGAAACTGTATTTAAAAGTACACGAGTACCTGGCAGTCTCTGAAACACTTTTGTAATCTGCCGTGTCATGAAAGCCGTCTGTGAAAATTAAAATAATGTAAATAATTAAGGGAATTTAGGGCAGAGTGGGAATAGCATATAGAATAGATTATTTGAAAATGTCAGAGAGGGAAATTTAAAGAAGAAAAAAAGTATGACCTTAGTTGAGGAATAGCTAGCTTTGAGAATTATGCATTTAAAGATTCAAATCTCTTAATTATGTACATCATTGTTACTCTTTCTTCTTTGCTATTCCATATTTGAAGATTTATTTTGTTTCCCAGATTTGGTCAACTTAAAAAGCTTATGAAGGTATTTCAGTTATAGCATAGGTATGCCGAACACAAAGTGAAAAGAGTAGCATGTATTATTCAGAGAAGTAAGGATGGGTAATGTGTAGCTATCAACTTTAGTCCACTGCTGTTAAGATTTCAGTTTTAAAGAAATGGTCCTTAGGTCGTTGAATTTCCTGATATCTCTTGAGCTGAAGTAGTTTTGCTCAAGTGTGAACAATTTAGGATTATGCATGTAGTTTACGTTTGGTTTTGGAGTCAACATTTCTTTTTAAATGCCTTCTCGAATGACAGTGTAAAAATGAGACTTGGAGACCAGAGCTTTGACAGACAGATACAGCACTATCAATTTATCATTTAAAAACAAGTTATCAATGTGAATGTTTTTAAATGAGCAATTGTGAAAGAAATGGTTAGATCAAACAGCTCAAATTTGAGACAATATGTGGCTAAGCCACACAGTGTGTTCACAATTTCCACTTGTTCTAAACTTGTGTGAAAATGTGTTCAATTGACAAATATATTATCTTCTTTTACCTTTATTAGCTTCCTTGATTTTCAAAGTCTTCATTACCCTTTTTGGATGTTGCATTTTGGAAAATAAAACAGATTAAAACCATGAAACTTTTAAAACACTTTACAAACATTTCGAACAAAAATAGAGATAATTTATAGTTTGGCCTTAAACTAAATCTACAGAAAAAAGACCAATTAAATAATACATGGGCTGTTTGGTTCACTGCTTTGATATTTAGGTGACTTTTTAAAAAATTTAAATTTTGATCTATGATTATTTTTAATAGAATTAAAATAACTGGAACCCCAACAATGATTTGTATATTAATTTGAAAAAAATATCCAAATGTATGGTGCGCAATTGTTACCTTATCTGGTGATTCTTCTTGGTTATAATTCCTTTTGGAGTGGTAAAATTTGAGTCTTTGCGTCCTTGGCTTTCCCGCTTTTCAGTTCCAAAAATGGACACGCGCTTTTCAGTTCCGAAAATAGACATGTGCTTTTCAACTCTCTCTTTATGGCCAGACTGCTTGGTCATTGTTTTATGGCTTTTCAAATGTGGCCCATGTTTTTTAGCAATTTTTGGCAGTGGCTTCAGGTCTGCCCTTGATGAGCCTGATGTTATTTTAGAGACCGTGCTGGACGATGCTTTTGTAAGCAGATTCTGGCTTGACTTTCCCATAGCTATTCTTAGACGTGAGGCTAACGGCTTAGTGTCTGGGGACAAACTTTTTTTTTCAATTTCCACGATAGCAAAGGCCGGTGACTTAGCACGATCAAGTTCTAAAGGTGGTGTCTCATTGAGTGAGATATCGCTTCCTTTTTCAGAGAAAGATGTCTGCATTACTCTATTTTTGTGATGTTGGGTTTTCTTGACAATTTTATGTCTGGGTTTTTCATGTTTGCTGCTTTCCGATTTGACCTCTTTATCTTTAATTCTGCTGGCTTTCTTATGTTTCCTGATGGCATTTGGGCTTTTGGGCTTTTTTTTAGCTGACACAATATGACCCGCTCGAAGAGATGGATCCTTGAAGGCAACTGTTGACGGTTGTTCAGATGATTCCTTAATCAAAGATATCCGTTCGTCTTGTAATGGTGGAGTTTCATCGTTAAAAAGCAAGCCATCTTCTTCAGAAAAAAGAGATTCACATACAGTGTCCTCATCGTCCATGCTAAATTCATTTTCTTCATCCTATTGATGAAACAAGATCAATCGCATCAAACAGATGGAATAATACGGTACCTGTAAAAATTGCATTGACAATAAAATTTAAACTGGTGCTGTGCTTATACAGTGAACAAAATTGAAATTAGTTGTATGGATATTTAGACAAATTGAATCAATTCGTGCAAACTGAAAAAGTAAAAAAAAAGCATACAAATTTTAAAAAAACATGTTTCATGATTTTAATTACATTTATCAGTTCCTGCGAGCGATTAACATGAAATAAATGAATCCAGATCACCTAATCAAGTGACATCCTTGAAACAGTGGTTCTCAAATTTGTATTAGCTTTCCCCAGGGCTAAGAAAACCGAATAAACCCCAGACTTGATGACAAAAATAAAACAAACTTTGTCAATAGAAATTGTTTTTAGTTTTTCTTTTCCTTCCCAGGTCACAGAGTAAAGGATAAAAAATGGCATGTCTAGTCATAAATCACAAAGATGCTTCGCAAATGTCATTTTAATTTATAAATGAATCTATTAGATTTGAAGATTACAATACTTGGCAAGCTTAGCCTAGTCTGACATTAAGCCCAGGTAATCTAGACCAGTTGATGGCAAACCTACGGCTCTTTAGAGACCTGAGTGCGGCTTGGCCAGTCTGCCAAAAATCGGTTTTGACTATGAAAAGTTGGTTCTTCATAGGTTCTTGAAAAGAAATTTGGCTCTCAAAATTTTTTTTTATCATCCTGCTGCTGATTTTTGGCTCTTTTGACTGCCGAACACTGATCCAGACCAATCCGTCATTGACAGTAACACAATTTTGACACCTTTTATTCAACTTGACAACGAATGCGGTCTATTTAAAGGTCTTGAGAGGGGTGACCTTTTTTTAAATAGAAAACATACCCACATCCAAGAAAGTTACAGTTGGGCAGGGGAACTTGATGTTAGGGACCATTTTGATTCATAAAATTTTACTAAACTGCGATCAGTCAAGTTTGAAATATTTTGAAATTTTATTTTGAAGTATTATGAAATTTTTGAAATTTCACTATTTTGAAATATTAACTTTTCATGCCATCAATTGAACAGCATTAGGTATGACTTGCAATAGTCATCAAAGTCTAATAAGTAAATATAATCAGTAATTAAACATCTTGCTATCATTTCCATAATGTAATAATTATTGTATATTCGATCCCAATGTAAGGCAAATTTTGATTGCTTCGAATTTGTTTCTGCAATAACAGTGTACATTGAACACTATTAAACAATGATGCTGTGTGTGAGCATAAGTTCAGGTCTAGGCTTAAATTAGAGGCTAATCAGCTAATCGACATTGTGTTCCTGCAAAACTTAATTAAACAGATATCAAATGAAAAGGTGATACTAACAATTTCTATTTATTAACCTGCATACCGTTGTGTTGTCATTTAACGCAAAGTTTCATCTCATGTTGACCTTTAAACGTATACCCTTTACATTTTGGTTATACTAAATAGTGTGTGTAATATCAGTCAAACATATAACAAACCTCTTTATCAGCTTCAGGGGAATCCAACAGGAAATCCTTAACTTCTTTTTCTTCATGTGAAATATCGCTCTTCTTATTTTTCTGAAATTGTCAAATCAATATGCATGTTATTGTATGGAAATGAGTTTACATTATTTTTAAAAATGATTTACTTCACTGGTTCCCAAACTGTGTGCAGTGGGAATCTGGAGGAGCCGCTATTTAAATTTCAATTTTCAATTCAACGTGATAGTATACAACATGTAGTGGATCTCGTGCAAACCAGTAACTAACTTTAAAATAAATGTTTGAAGAAGCCTCTATAAATTATCAGACGGACTAAGATTGTGATTGGTAATCTGAAGTATGTGTTTCATTTATATTTACTTCACCCTTCAATTTTAGAAAAATACTGCTATTTCTAAGTGTACTTGTTCATAGGGCCCTTAGTTAAAAACTGGATTTGGCAAGGGCGCAGAGAACCGTGGAAATCTGGGAACCTCTGATCTACTGATATAAAAAAAAATTGGACTTTCATAATTTTCTGCAAAAGCATCAACTTGAAAGTACTTACAACATTGGATTACATCTATGTTTGATGTAAAGGATTTCACTAAAATGCGCTAGTGATACACTGTTCGGATTTTATCATAAAGGAAAATGTGGTTATTTTAACATGACTCGTCATACTTTTTTTTTTCTATTCAAAATTCAAAACTAAAATTACAAAAAAAGTATTAAGCACAATCTTATTAATGACATGAATAAATTATTCCATAAGTAAGTAAATGACACCACTAAAAAAAATACATGTACAATGAGATAGAAAATGAATCTGATGTCCTACCCATTCCTCAAAAAATGCAGGTGTGTTTTTAAGCTTTGTTTTTGGAGGCATGGCAAGTAAGTTGTTGGTTTTTTCATTGATTCTGGCTTGTTCAGCTGAAAAGTAACCAAAATACTAGTCATTTCATTCATAGCCCTTGAAGGATTCCTTTTTTTGTGAGTGCATGTTATATACATATTTTTTACTGGTATGATTAAAGTGAGATAAAAATCAAATAACAATGATTCAGTATTAGATCATAGAGACATTTTATTTTTGACAGCTTGGCATTCATGATAATCTTTAGTTAGGCAAACAACCCTCAGAACACATTTGTGTGGCATAATTAAGACATGAAACAACTAAAATATTAGAAACCAAGGCTATAAATATGATGCCAAGACTATTAAAAAAAGGTGTTTACATTAAGAATTAGATTACAATTATAGATCTGCAGTAAATATACCGGTGCTCTAACTACATAAAAATGTATTTCATCATATAAAATCTTTGGATGGCATGCACAATGATCCAAAAGTACACAGCAGCACCATCTTGTTGGTTTACATAGAGGAGATGCTCTCATCCAGTATATATATTACTCAAGTGCTTTTAGTAAAAATGACTGAGGTCAAGAGATAGTCCTTTCTTGTTTTGTAAAAATAAATTGATGTCAATGAATAGTCCCACACAAATGACAGGTGTCAAAAGCTTTTAAGACATTTTACACATCTCATCAGATTCCAGTTATTAGCCTAAGAATTCCCATTTCCCGAAGCATTGTAAACATCATACTCATTCTAATCTAGTACTTTTAAAAAATTATTTCTGAAGTATAATAGTTATTTCTATGAATGAAACATTCCCAAACCTATTTGCTGGACTTAGAATTTATATAAATTTCTCATTCTCAAAAAGTAATTTTTTTAAAATAAATGTTGGAATTAGACACATTATTATTATTTTTACAGAAAAAAGTCCCTTCTTAACTTTTGAGCTTGATTAGAAGTTTGAAGTATGGCATCATTTATGATCTGATCAAATAGACAAAAATAAATATTCACGATTACAGACCTGTTTATCCCTGGGTTAGTGTCAGAGTAGTTTTAATCTCTCTGAACTAGTCTCAACTCAAAAGAGTAGTTTTTTCAATTGTGTGTGTGTGGGATGTTGGTGGTGTGGGGAAAAGGAGGGGGGGGGGGGAATTGCTATTATTGGCATTTCAAATTCAAGAAAATAAAATTTATTTTCATTTATCAAATATTTGCACAAATAAATATACAGTACACAGTCCTGATTCTTGTTGGAGAAAAGGTCTAAGGCAAGCTCAAGAAGCACTGAATGCACAGACTTCCTTGACTGATGGGAAGATCTAAACTAAACTTTCAGACTATTGCAACAGGACATGTTTTGTTGGTAATCAGAAAACAAGTACCGGTATGGATTTGTAAAACTAAAACTTAAAAATAATATTAACATAAAACATAAAAGTAAAAATTAACCAATATAAAATGAATATGAATATATTTATGAAATTTCCTAGCAATTGCAATTTTTCATCAATGTACTTGAAAAGATTTTAGAGATTTTTTTTTTGTCTTGACTTTCAAAGTGCTGATAAAAGTTTAGCTTTGTGTCTAGTCTCTATGGGATCTAGAACATGCAATTAGCTTCCCCAAGTAGTAAATATCTTTTCACATATGGAGTCAATGCCTTCCTCTTGTGATGAAAATGAAAGGTGAGAATAAACACTCTTTAGTGTCTATGAAATCTCTGTATTCAGGGTTTCATATTTGGACACATAAATTGAGAGCTTCACTAAGAAGTTGCAGAAGGGACACCTGAGGTAGGTGATAAAGATGATTGACTTTTCTTAAACATTTTCCCCTCCACATGGCACCCGAGGACTGTCCTGCCAATAGACTTGATATCATTACATCTACACGGGTGTAGCAGGGATGACTTGATCAACCTTGGTTGCTCTCCTAAGGTCTTTTAAGGTACTGCTGGTCATTATTATTTTATTGATCCTTATAATGTTAAAACGAAGCAAAAGAATTAATATTTTCTTATTAGGCTTATTCTAAATCAGCGGTTCTCAACCTATGGGTTGCGACCCCTTTGGGGATCTAACGACCCTTTCACAGGGGTTGCCTAAGACCATCAGAAAACACATATACCCTACCTATATGAAACAGCATCGAAAATAATTTTGTGGTTGGGGGGTCGTCACAACATGAGGAACTGTATTAAAGGGTCGTAGCATTATAAAGGTTGAGAACCACTGTTCTAAATGGTCATATATCCTATTGATTTTTATACTATTTATACCAGTATTAATTTAGTAGAGATACTAAAACAGGCCTATGCAGTGACATATCGGTCATAGGAGTCAACAAAATGGGGAAGGGGTATCAAGAAAAGTTTAAACAATGACAATTGAAATGGTGGCATTTAGAGCTAATTTTGTACTATTATGAGTAAACAATATAAAAATAATCTAACAAAATAACTTATGCCTAAAAAAGGCTAGCTGGGCTATTTACTTTTTTAACATAGCTATGTTAAAGA